CAGGCGCTCAGAAAAAAATTCTTGTATTAGCTTCTGACACCTATCTTTCACATAGCTCTCAGAGAAAGATAAATACCACATGATTTCACTCATATAAGGAATTTAAGAAACAAAACAGATGAACAAGGGGAAGGGAAGGAAAAATAAGATAAAAACAGAGAGGGAGGCAAACCATAAGAGACTCTTCAATACAGAGAACAAGCTGAGGGCTGCTTGAGAGGTGTTGGGTGGGGAAATGAGCTAAATGGGTGAGGGGATTAAGGAGGGCACTTGTTGAGATGAGCACTGGGTGTTATAGGTAACTGATGAATCACTAAATTCTACTCCTGGAGCCATTATTACACTGTGTGTTAACTAACTTGGATTAAATAAATAAATAAATAGAAGATCCACATGGAATGTTTATATATTCTTACTTTCTCACTACTGATTCTATTGTATTGTAATTTATTGGCCTAATAAAAAGGCCACTACACAATAGGCACTCAATAAATGCTGTTGATGGACACAATATGTAGTTGTACACTCTTTTTTTTCTTTTTAAGTTTCTTTAGTTATTTTGAGAGATGGGGGGATGGCACAGAGAGAGAGGGAAAGAAAGAATCCCAAAGAGAGATTAGCAGACATATGAAATGCCAGCACTAAAACAGAAAAGTATTTTGTGACTATATTGGAATGATTATCTATCTACCTATTTATTTATATATCTATCTATCATATATATCCATCTGTCATCTATTTATCTTTCCATATACATGCACATACATGTAATGAAGTTATTCTACAGACCTGGGGCAAAAGGAAACCAAGAGGTCTAAGTCAAGTAAGCTCTTTTTATACTGTTAGAAGTCATAATTAGTAATCTTTACATTTATTTGGTTAGCCAGTTTCCACCACATAATGTAACTCTGGAAAAACATCCAACCTTTTGTCTGTAAGAGCAAGAGGGGTCACTGTGATTATTGTTCAGATGCCACTATAATCATAGAACACTAGTGAGTTAAGAATATTATGATTTTGGGGTGCTTGACTGGCTTGGTCGGTTAAGTGGCTGACTCTTGATTTTGGCTCACGTCATGAATTTAGGGTTGTGAGATCAAGCTCACATTAAGACCCATGTCAGGCTCTGCACTCTCAGCAGGGAGCCTGCTTGAGATACTCTCTGTGCCCCTCCCCTTCTCTCTCTCTTTCAAAACAGATAAATAAAACAGTAAAAAAAAAAAAAAGGAATATTATGATTTTGAAAAACAATTATTTCATATTTCATATTATTGTCTTATTGGCAAACTTGAACCAAGTAAAACAGATATGGCTAGAGAGAATTAAATTGTAAACTACTTCCCTTTGCTTACTTAAAAAATTTGAACCAGACCATCAAATGAGAGAATCTAATCTCTCTTCCCCAACACACTCCCATCTCTAGGCATATATTACCAAGTTAGTTGATTAAATAGAATGCACAAGAGAGAACTTAGTTCAGGCACTACTCAGGAAACTAAGGCTATAAGAATTAAAAACTATGAGCTAAGAGAGTATGAAAAGAGAAAGACATGCTATAGATTGGTATTCATATCCTTATACACCTGAATTTCTGGTAAACCCGCTCATATCCTACTATGACATTATTCACTGAAGTTCTCTTCTGGATATAGACAGCATGCTTTGAAAATGTAATTTAAAACTAACCAGATAAAAAATGACCCTTTAAATGATTTTCCCCTAGGCTGTAAATTGACTTGAGAGGTACACTACGTACCCAAAATCCAGGTTTAGACAAACACATTTTTCAGATTCTTCTCAGACATTTTGTCTCTTCAAGGATCTAATAAAAGTATCTTTCATGTCACTAATGAAATCAGTGATTCATAACAGGTGTTTTGCCTTCTGCAGCCGCCATTGTCAGGTGGCTCTAGGGTTCTAATTCTGCACTTTTGCTCATTTGATTATCAGATTTTGGTAAAGCTACTTATGTCTTTAGAAGGAGAAATAATCTTGTCAGAATTACAAAGATAATTTGTGTGAATTGCTCAGTAGAGAGTCTTGCACATGTGACTGGTCATGTTACTCCCTAATTAAAACCCTCGCATGGATTCTCAGTATCACTAGGAAGCTTAATATCGTTCACATGGCCAAATGAGTACCTTCATTTTGGCCCTTGTCTCTGCCCTTACTCCCCTCTCTGTCCTTACTCCCCTTCATTTACCTGGATGTCTCCTCACTGCAGCCATGCCAAATTATTTACTCTTCTTTAAATTGTCCGTACTATTTCAGGTCTCAGTGTTTTTGCTATTTCTTTACTACTCCTCTTTTGAGAATGAGCCCCAGCTTCTCACCTTCCACCAGATCCATTCATGACTGATTTATGCTAAATTAGGGCTTCTTCCCTCTATTCTCAACACCCTTTGCATTGCATATCTTTATGATAGTACATGTCAGTAACCTGGTATTTTTAAATTAAATTTAAATTTTCTTCCCATAAACCTAGAGTATAAATTATGTGAAGGCAAAGGCTGTTGGTCTTATTAATGCTATATATTTTTTTATCCCCAGTGCCTCACACAGAGTATGGCACATATTAATTGTGCTATATGTCTTTGTTGGGTGAAAAAATATTACATTGAGTCATTGGTGAGTATGGGACCTTTTCTGATAAGGAATTTCAAAGTACTTCTCTTCTATATAACATATGAAAGATTTCTAGTCCTGAAGGTACAAGGAGTTGAAATTTAGAGTTAAAGCAAATTAAAATTTTCATATTTAGATCTGAACTTTTAAAAAAAATTAGACTAGATTATTTTCTCTAGAAGTACCAGATATACACAAATGACCTATCTAGATTTGGCCCTATAATTTTGTCTGAGAGTATGTTTTTGACTTAATGATATAATACTCAAAGATGTCGTACATTTTGAAAAGTTAGGTAAATTTCCTCATCTGTGAAATAAAGAAATAGAACGGAGATGCAGGGATGTAATACACAAAGTCTGAACAACACAATGGCAGGACTCTTCTTGGGACCAAACTTTCCTTGAATTGCATTCTTTGGCTCGCACCTAGGCTAAGTCTTGACGTGTGAACAAGGGAAAAACAGTCAACAGGACATAGCAGGTATGACACTTTGAATATTTTTATATTGTTTTTAATTGTGGAGTTATGTTTTGTGATAATTACAGTCTACTCCCAATAATTTCATCTCTAGCTTGAGAAGTCAATAGTGTCTGAAAGATTATAAATGATTATCACTGACATTAACCATCTAGGTTATAAGTGTTCTTTTTATTCATTAGTTTACTTTCTCTCCCTAAGCTGTGTTTCTTCTTAATTATGTCGGTGTCTTGCTACTTTTTAGTGAGGTATAGTTGTAAAAAAGAAGTTCTTATGAATTGATACTATTCATCAATGTAAAAGCAACATTCCTTCCATCACAGAATTTGAAATTCAAAAAGCTTCATTTTAAAAGAGTGATGATAAATTGAGAAATTGTGGCCTGTTTAGTGGTCTTACTATTAGCACTTTTTAATAATCCATTTTTTGTACTTTATTTATTTATTTATTATTTTTAAAAATATAATTTATTGTCAAATTAGCTAACATACAATGTGAAAAGTGTGCTCTTGGTTTTTGGGGTAGATTCCCATGGTTCATCACTTACACACAACACCAGTGCTCATCCCAACAAGTGAAATGAAAGAACTTGACAGGATGGTAGACTTGTTCAGAGCACAGGCCTTGTAAGAAAATAGCCCTCATTTTCAAATTTTAACTTAGCTTCTCATTATCTCTCATTAGCTGGACAAATTGCTCTATTTCTCCAGGCTTCTGTTTGTCATAAGTAAAATTAGGAAAATAATACTTGTCTCATTGGGTGTTGAAAAGTTTAAATGAAATAATACATATAAAATACTTTATATAATATCTGGCATTTTTTTATAATTTTTTTAATGTTTATTTATTTTTGAGAGAGAGACAGAGCATGAATGGGGGAGGGTCAGAGAGCGGGAGACACCGAATCTGAAACAGGCTCCAGGCTCTGAGCTGTCAGCACAAAGCCCGACACAGGGCTCGAACTCACGGACCATGAGATCATGACCTGAGCCGAAGTTGGCCGCTCAACCGACTGAGCCACCCAGGCGCCCCAATATCTGGCATTTTTTAGAGGCTCAATAAATGGTAGCTATTATTACTGTTATTTATAAAGAATTTTTATAATAAATTTGCTATTCTTGAATTCTTAAGTAAATATGGGTATTTTAGCAATGATGAGAAAATATTTTTATTATGATTAGATATTTGAACATTTTCCATAGAGGAACATGGCAAAAGCCACCCATATTATCTTTACACAGATAGCAGTAAGATAGGTTTCTAAAAGCAAAAAATGAATTCAATAACGGGGCAGGATTTAGACTGAATAAGACATTCCAAAGCCTATGTTACATGACATTGGAACACCTCACCTTCATCTCTCATTTTGATTTTTAACACTTCAAGGCTATGGAACTAATTTGAGTTTCTAATTAAGCCCATGTGTCTATATTTAAACTTATAATGTACACTTCAGTAGAGTTTTTCTCCTGACCACTGTTTTTATTGATCTAAGATAATAAGCCAAAGCTGCACAATTTTGAACTAACTGCTAAAATCATTTGCTCATGGCTTTATTCTCTTCCAAGTTTTCATTAGTATCATATTATGATGCCAAGACTGGCAAACAATTAGGCTAACACCACCCATTGAGACTCTATGTTACAGCATGAGTGATGAATTCTGCATAAAGAAATGTATCTGGGCTACGTTACAATTGTGGTAGAACAGGGCATTTCATGGAGGAATTTAATGATAGCAACAAAACATTAACTGAAATGACTATATGAGTATTTACAGGAACAGAATCCCATTTGATGAGACTATTCACAATTGGGAACATTAGATTTTTAACTCAGGTCAGATTGGAATGGTATAACTTAACATCTTATTTTATATGTTTGTGCAAAACTTACTCTCATCTCCTGTTTCAAATTCAAACTTCTGGCTATAGCCACTGTATCCTGTTGCAGTCCTCACTCGGATATGAAATATGTACTTGGTGGCTGGCTTGAGGCCTGTGATGATGACACTGGGCGCCTTGGACCTCGTGGAGGAATAGGTGAGCTGCTCATGCTCCTGGGGATAGAAAAGAGGAGAAAGGAAATGAAGCAGAGTTTTTCCACTTTTTCCCAGGCGTATTCCCAAATTAAGCTGAGGAAGTATGCTCTGAATATCAAAAATATTGATTAAAAAGAGGTGTAAGCATGGTTTCCCATAAGTTGGCACTTATTTATCACTATGATGCACATGATATGGTCTTGATTTGGAAACTCATTAAGAAGGATGACTATCTTATATAAGCTTGCACTTGGAGGTTTGGTGATTTGGATTTCTGCTCCAATTCTAAGGAATGGTGGTGGCGTGAGAGCACGTTTACACAGAATGGCAGCTGCACCTTGAGCAAAATGGGCACATCAGATCAGACCACACCAGCAGAGTGCAAGGAGCAAGGGTGGGAGGGTTCAAGTCCCCGCTACTCACTTCTACCCGCAGGTAGTGCCAAAATGCCGGCGCTATCCGTGGGTAGACCTGTGGGTAAAAGGAAAAATAAATTAATTGTTTTTTTTAATTTGAAGTATTTTATCCCGAATCAATTACTTTGTTCCAAAACTCAGCGATGTCCCTGTAGTTGTTAACTACAGTGGAGTCCAGCTTGAAACATAAAACTATGAAAATTTTCCCTTAAGGGAGAACTGACTCCTTCCCCACCTAGATATTGCAGTTTATTTTTTAAAGATGTAAAAACTTGTGACGTAGGTTTTAACATAGTCTGTCCAAAAAGGAGCATCAAAAACAGAGAAGGTATGAAAGACTTACCACACCCGTGGAATCAGAGGCAGGGCTGGAGCCTTGGTTCCCAGTCACCTGCAGTTAATTGCAAAACTACCTCCCCTCACTTATGGGAAGGGTTTACCACAGCTGATCGAATGATCTGGTCAGTCAGGGTCTTTTAAGGGGGCTCTCTTGCCCACCAGCTCAGAACAGGATAGTTCATTTTATCCATGCATGTAAGAGACTGTCCACAACATGCTGGCAATGGAGATAAATTAAACTTAATACTATTTTTGTACAGTGTTATTGTTCAGTAATTTTATACTGATATTTTAATAGGTGAAAACACTGTATTTGTGTGAATAACTCTTCTAAATTCATAAGTCAAATTAGGCCACCAGGTCCTTACGTTAATTCTCCACTCTTCTCAGAAATCTGAAGATATTCTCAGGGATGGAAGTGACTTTCAAGATCATTAACTGAATCACTCATTTGACGCCTTAATTCTATCTATATTATTCCCATCAAGATTTCATTTAGCCTTTGCCTGATACTCTCTGTTGTTCAGATCTTCCAGACTAACAAATGAAGTTATAAAAATCTACACATGTGTAGATTGTGTCAAACTCCATTTATTTGCTGGTGATGCTTTAAGATTTAGAACTATGGAAATCATTTCACTTCAGCTACTTTTCAGAAAAACATCCTAATATTAAAGATCATTTAAAAATTTTATGGCCCTATTTGTCAGAACATTACATGCTACATGTTATTCTGAGTCTAGCTGAGGAATTTAATTTGCCATGTATACCCTAAATAGAACTGTTTATTCAACACAAAAAAGAAAGAAAAAAATGAGTTAACAATAGCAACATTTTAACTAAAAAAGACAAAAGGAGAAATTGCAGTTTATATTTACCGCTAAGTAATTTTGAGATTAGGAAGTAAATAAATATCTACCTAGCATAAAATCCAAAGAAATATAGTCTCTAAAATAATTAATGGGAGGAATCATTTAAGGGCTAAAATAAGGAGCTAAGATCAAGGCCTTTATAATTAGGGAGCTTAGCACTCATATTTTAGAGAAAAAAAAAAACCTGCTCATGTGCCATTAGAAGAAGTGATAATGTTTCTGGTAGAAATCTGCAAAACTTTCTGGATTTTCAATCTCACAGTAGGAGAATATTCCACCTTTCACAGAATTTCCTGCAATGTAAGTGTTATGGTACATTTTGAGTAGTAGTTCACAATATGAAATGATGACTGAGAAAAAAAATTGTAAAGCCGTGAAAAAATAAATTTTGTCTTATCCTTGAAGAGAGAAGATACAGATTTCAAAAATCTACTTTTAGACTGGCAGCACACCAATTACACATTATGTCTTTGTTGCTTCATCAAAATGTAGCTAAATAGTAATTTCTTAGTAAAGTTACAGGCAGTAAAGGACACCTTTTGCAAACAGCTTTTAGCATTTCTGCTGTTATATACAAAAATGCATCTGTAGTTGCATCTCTGGAATAAAAATCCCCAGGTAGGAAATGTGTGTACATGGTTCCTCAGCCTAAATGACAGCAGTGTGTTGATGGGCTGCCTTGTCTTAACATCTTGCCACGTCTCAGCCTGCCAAAGAGGAGGCCTCAGAACGCAGCAGTCATGAGAGTTCCTCTTTCCAGGGTACAGCAGCCCTCTCTCCTGGCATTTCCAAGCTCTTGGGAAATCAGGGTAGCACTTATCCATTACAAGCATAGAGCACTAGTGTCCCAGAACTTTGGCTAATTGCCTTTCTGCCAACGTGTCAATTCCAATTCTAAGCAGCTGTTACCGGGTAGAGACCATACTTTGCCACAGAACCATCTAGTCCTCTTTATTCATCCTCACAGGCTGAACTGTGGACATGTTTGAGTAGGATATGTGTGCAAGTTTTTCTGGAGTTTGTGCCATGATGGAATTGCTGCTTTTATGACATAGATGTTTTCAATTTGCTAGGTAACACATCCCACTGTTCATAAAACTCTTAAATGTGTTTTTTGTATTTGCTAAATCCATAGTTAAATAGCTTTTGCATTCTTTTTTTTTTTAATTTTTTTTTTAACGTTTATTTATTTTTGGGACAGAGAGAGACAGAGCATGAACAGGGGAGGGGCAGAGAGAGAGGAAGACACAGAATCGGAAGCAGGCTCCAGGTTCTGAGCCATCAGCCCAGAGCCCGATGCGGGGCTCGAACTCACGGACCGCGAGATCGTGACCTGAGCCGAAGTCGGACGCTCAACCGACTGAGCCACCCAGGCGCCCCAGCTTTTGCATTCTTAATGCTATTTATTTTTGTAGTTTCTTTTCTTGATCAAGCTTTCCAGAGGTTTGAACCAACTTTTGGCTTTGTTAATCGAATTGCATCTTTGTTTTCTATTACATTTAAAATCTGCTTTGACCATAAATGATTTTCTTTCTTCTTTCTTCCTTCTTTGTGTTATGTAGCCTTTTAACTTACTGCATTTCATGCTTAACTCATTAATTGTCAGTATATCTTTTCAAATAGACTATGTAAAACTACAAGTTTTGCTCTAAGTACTGCACTATCTATACTCCATAAGTTTTCATATCGTGTATTATCAACCAGTGCTAAATATTTATTAATTTCCAAAGCTAGATGATTTTTAAATTCTTTGTAGTAGATTCAGGATTATCACTTGTACACTTTTATGGTTCATGACAAGTTGTCAGGCAATAAATAAGTGGCATAAAGTGAAGCTCCAAAGGCATAACCCCACTGGTTGCAAAGCACACTGAGCTGTGGATAGGACAGTGGATGCTCATTGCTGGGTGCACTGGCAGTCTTCTGCAGTAGTGTTTGCTGCTGAAAGTAAAACAGCTTGTTGTACTCTTTCTCCTTGGATGAGCATGGATAAGAGCACCAACTGTGAGAAAAAACATTTAGTAATGATGTACTTTAATATATTGCTATGTATGTCATTAAAAATAATTAATATAAGGGTGCCTGCTGGCTCAGTCGGTTAAGCCCCATGATGTGGGTCATGATCTCTCGGTTCATGGGTTCAGGCCTCGGGACGGGCTCTGTGGTGACAGCTCAGAGCCTGGAGCCTGCTTCAGATTCTGTGTCTCCCTCTCTCTGCCCCTTCCCAGCTTGCCTGTCTCTCTCTGTGTCTCTGTCTCTCTCTCTGTCTCAAAAAATAAACACTAAATATATATATATATATATATATATATATATATATACACATATATATACACAATTTCTTTTTTATATATTTGTATCTACATATGGATTTTAAAATAGTTCAGAACCAATTAGTGTGAACATTGGACATTGTCAAAAAGAATGTATTTGCACTGATCTCTAGAGATCTTCACCTTCACTTACCGTTCTCTTCCCATGGGTAGACCCTACAGCTTTCACTCAGACACTGCTCCTTCCCAGCTGCTGAGAATCAATGTTTTTTGGGGAAATCACTTTAGACCTTTCATTTAGCTAAAATACTGAATCTAGCTTTACCTCTATAGACGTCAACTCTTCAGGGTAACTAAAAGACATGTTTTTACCAGATTCTGGATCTGTTAGCATTTAATCTAAAAACTGTAACTTAGTGAAAAGGAATAGGCTAAGGTGCCCAGTTCCTGGGGCTGCATCTTTCTAAAATCGGTGTGCAGGGCACCTGGGTGGCTCAGTTAGTTAAGCATCTGACTTTGCCTAGGTGATGATATCACGGTCTGTGAGTTTGAGCCCCGTGTTAGGCTCTGTGCTGACAGCTCAGAGCCTGGAGCCTGCTTCACATTCTGTGTCTCCCTCTCTCTCTGCCCCTTTCCCGCTCACACTCTGTCTCTGTCTCTTTCAAAAATAAACATTAAAATTTTTTTTAAAAAATCAGTTTTTGAATGGCCTGTATCAACAAAAGATAACATGTAGAGAATTTTGGGTTGAACTTTTCTTGCCTTGATCTTGGTCTTTGTTCTACTTGGGTTATGTATCTTGGTAAATCACATTGAAGACTTGGATTTACTTATACATTAAATTCATTCATTCCAGAGACACTGAATGCTCACTATACTTAAGGAAGGGCTCTGGGGCACTCTAACAGATATAGATTAAATAATCACCAAAGTTCCAAGTAAGCAATTAAGTCCCCTCTCTTCTCCTGTAACTCCTTCTCACCACTCCTTGCCTCACTCTTGGTTTACCACTCTCACTAATGGAAGTAGATTCAATGGGCCCACAAAGGGGTCATCATTTAGCTAGTTTTCGTTCTCTTAAAATTTCTGGGTCTAGTGAGACTTCTGTAAGATGTTACTTCTTTGACTTTTTTTTTTAATTTTAAATTAATTGGATTATATATTGATTAAAAATTGTTTTAGACTTTTTTCTACATTTAGATCTAAAGATATAGCAGCAATCATAAGAAAACCACATTTATGCAATCCTTTATAATACACAGTCTTTATGTGATATTCTTAATAATCTTATGAAGCAAGAACTGATAAAATCTTTATTCTCACTTAACATATGTTGAAATTGGTCAAGATAGAATAAGTAACTTACCAAAGCAAGTCACCTAACTAGTTAGTAGTTTTCATTCGAGTTGTGTTTTTCCACTATATCCAACTAATGCAGATACATCCAGGGCAAATATGCTTATAGATTAGACTTTGAGTCAAGGTCGCATCTTTACATTTTACATTATTGATTATCGAATCACTAGAAATAACTTTAAATATAACACAGGCTATGAGCCAGATAGTGATGA